TTATCTACAACTTTTGTTTGAAACTTTTTTCGATTAAATGCCTAGATTCTAAGATACGGCCATTTTTACCCTTTTTCTCGTTACAGCCACATCGTATTGCAAAAAARTTAGCACCATTYGATTCAGCGMCGTCGAATTACCTTTGTATYAAACTGTCGAGAACTTCTACCTGAAAGTTTTTCCTTCACCTCTTATTGACTGGGCTATATTGTGCTATTAAATGTATGTGGGTTGATAATATTTCATGTGTTCGCGTAAAAAAATAAAATAAATGATTTATTTTCCTCTAACGATAAATTTAAAAACACGTTAGCATACATACATATACACGTAACTTACCCCGCACGCATATACGTGTTAATAATATTTCCAGGAGATAGCATAGATGCCTGAGGTGATTTTTGATGGAATTTGATTGTGTGTGTATATATATGCGTGCGATAACCCCAAGTAAAAATCCTACAATCAAATTACAGTCTCGAATAATTCACGCTCGAGTTACATCTACGTGTAGTAGTAACTCTCGTTCGGTATCTAAATTCGATCGATAAATTTTCCTTTGGGATATTCGACAAAAAAAAAACAAAAAAAAAATCAAGGATGGATAAATGAATAAATGATTCTATCTAAATTGTGTGTGTGTGTGTGTATTATTATCTCGTCGTCATTATGCGCTCGAATTATCCAAAACTACGTCGAAAACTTGGAGCTTTTACGTTGCCAGACTGTCGTAATTTGATGTGAATACGTTTTAACGGGAAAAATTGATGAATGTATGTATCTGGTGGGAAGTAACAGAAATACGTGGGAACTCAGGGGTCTATTCCTCCGATCTATTATAAACTTCGTATGCATCTATTATAAACCACGTATGTATGTACCTATAAACCGTGCAAGTATGAATATATATATATATATATATATACAACACACATGATATCTTCATTTACGTTATAAAATATGTACATATGGTTAGAATGAATTTATGCAATGGCAAGCAATTTTTCATTACGTTTATTCATTAACATCGATAATGCACAGTTGAATTGAACCTGAGTATTGAAATGTACATTCCGAACATAAACAAAATATAAAAAGAAGAAAAAACAATTCGTTTTATTGAACCATTAAGAAAATCCCTATGTTAAAATTAAATGGAATTCGTAAAATCGAATGGTAGTGAGGAGGAGTTTTGAACAAAAAAAGCTTATCGATATTCGATACAACAATGTAATGATTTTTTTCTGTATATATTTGGGAATATTTTTGTGTCTGCTAAAATTATTTGAAATTGTTCGGTGTGTACGATCTACAAGAAGAGACATGATTCAATGCTAGCTAGGTCTTACTGATAAGTGCATATACTTAATGACCTCGAATACGAAACAATTATTGTCCGGTCGTTGGCGATTATATCGTATGATGCGTAGTTTTAAAAGGAAAAAAAGAAAAAACCGAAATGAACGAACGAACATAGTAATAAATAATCGACAAAATAGCGATATTCATTTTAGCATTTGAAAATAAATTTAAACGGAATAATACGGTCAATTTTTTGAACGTGTTTGAATTATTATCAAAAATAGGAGCAAACATGAATTCGTTTCTTTACTTGTGTATCTGATTCCTTAGGGTATTGAACCGAGTTAATTTATATCACATAGTGAACCTTTCCTATATTTTATCAATCTATATATGAAATATATAATAAAAGAAAATAAAATATTCCTCCTCTTTGTTCAAATCATTGATTTTATTTAATAATCTCAACAGAACGAATAAATATATCCACGAATATGTTTGAAGTATTTAATTAAAAAAAAAAGAAGAAAAATCTAAAGAAGAAAAATTGTATGGATCATCGATTCGTATTCCAACGATAAACTTTCAATGCACATTCGAAATAAATATTGGCTCGGTCAACGAGAGTAATGTTGCTGGAATTTTTTTTTATACACATAGGTAAGCTAAAATATTCTAGACGCGATTATAAAAATAAATTATTTTCTTTTTCGAGAGATTTTGTTAGATTTGAAAAAATAGTTCCTAGTATCTCGCGTATAGTTTTTTTTTATTAAAAATGTACAAATTAATTTATAAAAAGAATTTAGAAAAATATTGTAATTTATTTTTTATAATCAATTTATTAAATTTTCTCTTTCAGCCTATAGAAAAAAATTGTAATAGCAGACCTATACTATAGATAAATAAATAAATGAATCGAATTAGTCGTGAACTGTGTCGAAGCAATCACTAAACAACGATTCCATATAATCGCATCTTTTGTTCACCGCACGATTCATAGTAATAGGATCCAAACGGGTTTTAATTTACGTCAGCCTATCAAATTAAACAGTATTTCACGTAATTACGACACCACGTTTCCGGTGATACTTACTTAGTTAATTTTATGAGGCGACATTTTTTAATTATTATTATTATTATTATTATTATTATTATTATTATTAACCCTTCGCACTCCGACTATTGCTAGCAAACACTGTGTTCGCTTTTAATCATTCTAATAAAAATAAATAAATTATGTGGTAATGCCTTTTTAGCTCGAAAATTATCTGTACACGGTGCGCACGATGTTCCTATAAAAGTATTTCATTAAAATAAATAATTATCATTAATTTAGTGAAAAAAAAAAAAAAAAACTATTACTACGAGAAAAAAAATTTGCAGAGTATAAATGATTAATTATTATAAATTTTGATCATCCTTAAATTGTTAATAACTATACATTATCATTCATTGTTACCCTTTAAAAACCCCGATGGATTTTGTTCGCATGTTTAATACTTCACCAACCTTGATTATAGTTTATCTCTTGTGTAATTCTCCTGTTATCCAATTTTTGATCAACATCTTTGCAATCTGCATAATTCTCGTTATCGTTGTCATTGTTGGCAAGAACATCTACGAAATTGTTATGATGATCATTTCGATTATGATGTTGACGTTGATCCTTCACAGTATCATTATTCTTTTGAAACTTGCACAGTTTTGATTTATCGCAAGTAGCAGGCACATCCAAACGATCCAGATGCACGATTAATGCTGTCTCTAAGATCCCATTTGGTCCACGAATTTTTCTAACAGCTGCCAAAGTCTCCCAAACTTTACCAGCGATCGAATATTTGCTGCTGCTGCTACTACTACTACTTTTTTTTGTACTCTTAACCACGTTCTTCGTCTTTGTTTTCACCTTTTTTGAAACTTTGTCTCTGCTTACCACCTTCTCCAATACTGCTGGCGTACCTAATGTTGCTTGAATTTTCAAAACGTTTTTATTTCACTTTTTCTTTTCAATTATTTTATCTTCGAGTGATTTCGGAAAAGCTCCAAGTAGAAACAAGTGAGAACGTTTATAATAATTACGTAAATTATTTTGCTTGATTTTTTTTTTTTGAATGTAATGATGGATCTTGCACGAATAAAAATTTTATGAGAAAATTATGAGAAAATAGTCTATAAATTATATACTTTTTTTCTGAGATATTTGGGTAATGAATTAATTGAAGAATTATATTTCTTTAGTAATTTACAAATTGAAGGAATAACATTTAACACAAAATATATTGTTTAATATCAGGAAAAACTAATACCGAGATCATAATCATCAGTGTGATCACGTGTGATCACGTGTGATCACGTGTGATAAGTATTACAATATTGTCGATAGGTTAATTTCAATATATCTCGATGGACAGATAATTATTTCAATCTTAAAATAAATGTGATAAAGTCACACAACACGTGGTACAATTTAAATATAATATAAATATACTCGAGAGAATTTTTCCCGTATGAAAAGTTATTTTTAAAAAATCATCATCACAGTCATTCATGATAATACATAGTAACCGTTATCTTCTCCGTTCGAGCTTTTCCTTTGAACTTCTTTTTTATCCGATAAAAAAGCCTTGTAGAAGAAAAAGTTTCATGAGTCACGATCGATTAGAGAATATCACGTTTCGTTTTTAAAACATCGTTAACACGATTTTCGATAATCTAAATGATCGAAGAAAGTAAACGAAAGGTCGAGAAAACACCACTAATATCTCAGTCGGATTCGATATTCCGCTGGAATTTCTATCGCCATTTTTATCTTCGCGCAACATGTCGGGCATGTTTGATCTTGTAACGATCGTTTACACTTCGTTATAAACGTTTCAAAATTATTATCTTCCTTTTCATTTACTTCGAATTTTTAATCGATCACTGTATGAGAAATATATTACTATGGGGACACGAAAAAAATACAACAAGAAAATGAAATAAATCGCACACTCGGTAAAGAAATACAATAATTGATATTGAAATTGAAAAAGTTGAAAAGAAGCTCGAAAGAAAATTGTAAACGTTCTCACAGTTTCTACGAGGAGACGAAAGTTGTCAAGCTTTTCCGAGATTTCGCTCGACGAATGTGTGTGTATATAATATACGTATGTACATTCTCTCTCTCTCTCTCTCTCTTTTTTTTTCGTTGGAAGCGTCGCGACGCGTCTATCTTTACCGTCGTTCTTGAATTTCCGGTGGAATCTGTTTCTGCATCGTTCAGAGGATAGCTTGAGGTTGCCGAAGCCGGTGATCAAGGGAGAAGAAAGATGAGCACTGGAAGGGGGATAAGGGTTGTTGGAAGAACCCATAGCTTCCCCCCCCTCTAGGGATTCGCTCAACTGTTGCACTTCGACCATGTGGAGAAGATCGAGCCCTCGTAGAAAATGACAACCGTTTTCTATAGGGTGTACTTGTTGTTCCTTTTTCCTATCTCTTCTCTTTGTATATACACAAGAAGACTCGTTGTTCTTTGAAAAAGCACATACACGATGCGTCTTCCACCGATTTGATAGGAGATCCGATTCTATCCCCTGTTCCTCTTCTTCTCGAGAGAACGGCAGCCGAGCAGACACTAATTTCCCTCGTCGAATACCGTTCTCTCTTTTCCTACCCGTCGACAACACAGTGTGCTACTACTCCTCTTGGTTTCCGGTTCAACCCCACCAACAACCGAATAAGTTTCCTTCGTGTCGCGTGGACTACATACATTCATATACAATACATTCATATCCTTATCTAACTATATGTATGCGTCCTATGTATATTTAATACATTGATGTATCTATCTGTGTGTGTAGATAATAATACAATGATACCTATATCTTTCTATGTAAGTATATATTGGTATATAATGTATGCGCGTGTAAATATTCTTTATTTATCCTTTGCAATATGTATTTAGTATGATGATGTATGTATAAATATATAATTTGCGTTATATTTATATCTCTCTCTTTATTGTATTATGCATATGTGTGTAAGTTCAACCATATCTCTCTTTTTGAATTGAAAAGGAGAGAGATAGAGACAATTTTTGTTCCCTTCCTTCCTTCCTTCCTTCCTTCCTTCCTTTTAATAATTTTTTCGTCGTTCTATTACAATTGGTGCGTCCATGTTGTTCAAAATGTGTTATCATACCCCAAGTTCTGAATAGATTGCAACGAAGCATTTTGATAAAAACGCCTACGTTCTATCACTATCCTCTTCTCTTTTTCTTCTCAATCTTCTTCCCTCTCTCAATCATGCCTCCTCTTCTTGCTTGTTATCCTCGTTATTCTTATTATTGTTTTCCATGGATACTTTTTACTTGAGAGTAACTTATATGAATGAGAGAGAGAGAAAACAATTTATACGATTTATTTTTTATTTCTTTCAATTTCTTTCTCAATATTTCACGATCCCATAATCGCAATTTAAATTCATGTTTATCACGATATTCGTAATACAATATTTGTTATGCTCGAGAGACCTGTACTAAGATTTGATTATTTATTAACATTGATAAACTTTCGTAAAGCATTATAATTAAAAGCGTGTATAAATTTATCGAATTTATCGAACTACCTATTATAATTTAGTATACTAATTGTAAGATAAATGTGTGAAAGAGACTAAGTTTTATATTACAGTGTTTTGCAAACTTAATATACGGTTGAGTAGTTCGCGTACATTTTTTTAATGTGTGTTCACTGAACTCTTCAAGATAAGTTTCTAGAGATATATTGATTATATTATAATATCGAATTTTTTAACCTTGAAATTTACATATGTACCCATAATAATGTGTGTGTCTTTCTTAAATCATATATCTCTTGTTTCGAAATATTTAAAGGATTACATTTGTGCACTAAATGAATTCCATACAATGTTCAAATAACAAATATTACCAAATTCAAATTGATATTGAAATAAAAATTAATTTAATATTTTGTGAATTTTAATACCGATTAAACTGAATTTAATTTTATATAAAATGTATTTATGATGAAATTATATACGAATTGAAATAAAGCAGTCTAACGAAATAGATAAATAAGTTAGAATTTCTCGTAATGCGAGACTGTACTATTCCCCCCTTTAATAATTATTAATCATTTCAAAACATTGATTAGTGCGATAAAACGAACGAACTCAATGAGTTCATAAAATGCGCAACAAAGATTATTATGCTACGTTTATTCGTATTCTCGAAGTCTTAAGTTATTCGAAGAAGTATAGATTTCTATATATAACTAAATATTATTTATAAAATTTGCAAACATTTCCTTTAATTCTTGTTTCTATTTTTTTTTTTTAAATACATACCGATATATTTATATCAAGACTTTTAACATTGTCTGAAACATACTAAATTGTTCAAACTAAACTGTGAACTTTGTTTATTATGTCGGTAATAATTCACGCTAATATAATGATTTATGCGGGGAATTAAAAGAATAGAATTTAAATTAAAAAAGAAAAAAAAAAAAAAAAAAAAAAAAAAAAGGAAAAAAGGGAATGCCCAAGAAAATGTAAAAACGATTAATAAATCATGGGTATTTTACGAGTCAAAAGTCTTCGAAAGATTTCTCAAGTTAAAAATAAAATCGCATTCCTTTGTAACATTGCCAACAATTTTAATTCCATTCGAAAATTACTCTTCTAAGTACAGGGTGGCCCAAAAAAAGCGAATCCTAAGTAATATTACAAATCAATTAGCCTCTTTTTGACATTTTGCTAAAAGCTAACTTTTATTATCTTCGTTTATAAAAGTAGAAGTATTCTATAAAAAAAAAAAAAAAAAGAAAAAAAAATGATAAAATAAATACAATCTGAAAAGGAAAAGTTGCGTAAAAAGTTTCAAAAAAAAGACAAGCGATTATCTCGAATTAGGGCATTTTTTTGGACGTGAACTCTGTGCGATAACCAAACGCATGTCCCCCCCCCCCTTATGGGTTAAAAACTAACAAAAATCTAAAACGCGAAATAATAAATATTATATGTAGAGCATCTAATGAAAATAAAATTCAGATTAAAACGATTTTATCCTGATGATTCGGCGTGTGAAACAATAAGTGTTTTCCTCTTTCGATTGATATTATTTATTAATTTATTTATTTATTAATATTTGAACGCGTACCACACCTAATTCTAATGAGATTCAAGATAAGACGATTCTATCCTCGTTCGGCCATTCGTTATGAAAAAGCTTCGCTTATGACGATGACTAATGCGAACTGCAGAGGACGTACCACTCCCTCTTGGATTGCGTACAGATTTAATGGCACTCGTATATGCATCTGGTTTCCAAAATTGCATAACGCTATGTGATGGTTGTTACTCACGAGAGTCGAGAGACATCCGGTTACAATTCGTTCTTAAATAATTCCAAGTTTTGCCAGGACGAGAACCGAAAATACGTGACAAAATTTACATATGTTTCAATTTTTTCTCATTTATTCTTCTTTTTTTTTTTTTTTTCCTCGTGAAATTATTTTCATGCTTTTGGTTCTATGAATACCATTACAAAATTTCATCTACACATTCGCGGATACGAAAAAAATATTATCAAAACTCGAGTTAGAAGAAGCATCCGCTTTCACGATACGTTTTACACGCATAAAGCAAAATTGATTTTATGAATTACACGCGATAAGACGTTTCCGTGGCACGTTTTGATATCGTATATATTAAAATCGTACTCATTATGGTATAAATTTATAACATATAGTACAAAGACATTAATTAAAACTTTTTTTTAAATGCTCTAAATTATATGCTATAAAATCATACTTGTGTGGTATAAATTACAGTATATATAATACGCAAAGTTAGTTATCGAAAAATTGTCTAAAAGATCCTACTTCACTTGAAAAAATGAATCCTATCATAAATTTGTACAGACGATTATGATAAGTCAAATATAACGAATGTCCCATTTTTGTTTTCTTATTATTTAATTATCGTCACTACTATGTTCGTTTATTTTCAATAATATAACGGAACCTGAATTAGCAAGAAGAAAAAATATTAGTCAGAAAATGTTAGATCTCTTCCTTCCTTCTTTCCTCCTTCCTATAGAATTAATATTCACGTTAAGGGCTTACCTTGTATTGTATTCGCTTATGGGACGCCACTTCGAATTGTGGACACCGGATAACGCATGGTTGGTATAAACGACGGACAACGCGACGCTCGACAATATTAAATTTATTAAATTAAGACCCACCACTTAAATGTCGTCACTGCAAGACGCGGCAAAAAACAATGGCTCTTTTCCCTTTAATGAATTACAAGCTCTACAATTACTCGCATTATGAGTGACGCGCTTACTATTCATGTTTTATAACCGAGTCGTATAGATACTATAGTTTAGTATAATTAGAAGTATTTTCTTTTTTTTCTTTTCTTTCACCAATCATATTAGATATATGTACCGTTAATTATGACAAAGGGCCAAGTTAATAAATGGATAAAATTTATTTTATATATAATATAAATAATTATAATATAAAATAAATCATTTGTTTAATTTTTTCACTTGCACACTAGCTCACTTACATAATTAGATATATGTTGAAACATACGTACTCACCTTTTTTGAGGGACACATTTTAATATCACAATTTACATATAAAATGTTTGATCTTAAGAACGCGATGGAATTTCGTTAAAAGGATGCCAGAAAATAAAATGAATAAAAATAAACGCATTATTTCTATTTTAGGTTTTCCAACAACTAGACATATAATCAACTAAATAAAGGTTGCGTGGAGCCTTTTTTTTTTTTTTTTTAAATATCCTTTTAGTATGGTTGCCTCATGCGAAGGACTATATACGCGTGCATTTATTTAAACATTCCAAAAGAACAATCCAGACACGGCAGCGACTCTAATACGAAATTTTGTTCCCTATGTCTAAACATTGATTTAGAATAAATTTATACATTTCCCTTTTCCTTATTTCTTAATGATCATGCATTCATCTTTGCAGACATATTATCAAAAATATCCAAGCTATCGTTGCAATCTCTTGCGCTTGGTCTAAAATTGTTGCTCGACAAGACACTGAGTCTTACACGATACAATTAACATAACGCCAACAAATCTAAAATCTCCCTATAAAACACTTATAAATCTATTATAAGCAATAAATGTTTATTATATTGTTAGAAAAGAACGTGTTACTGCGATTATTAACCGCGTAACACGTAAGATTGTTTAGTACAACAATATATAAAAATGAAATATATACAATTAGGGAATAATTAAATCTCTGCCATAGGAGACACGTTCAATAAAAATGAATAGTGTAATTGTTTTGCAAAAATATTCATCGACAAGCAAAAGATCAAACTTACCATTTTCACCATCCGTTAATGCCCCCGCATCTTCTTCGCCCCTTTTGATTCTGTCAACTGTAACGTCAACGAAAATAATTAATCGTTAAATAAATATTTTACTACAATTAAGAAATATAATATACTAATCAAAACAATGAAAAAACCTATTATAGTATCTTCGTCAATATCACACATCATATTTTATAATTATTAATGTGTATGATAAAAAACGAGGAGTATAATATAATTAATCAATTTAGTTTCTCGGGTCACTTAATTTTTTTTCCCTGTCATTCACTTGATTGTTATTACAAAACCAGTTGACACTAGTAATCTTCTTATTATTTCGTGCATATAATATGAAAATTTGAAGTACATGAGCTCAATTCGTTTACATTCATTTACTTTTGCATAACATTTATGTTTCAATATCTATTTTCACATATTACAAAGTAATACTTACTGTGTGACATATGATTCTGAGAATGGTGATGATGATGAGACGATGGTGGTTTCCTTTCCGGTCGAATGCGTTCCATTAATTTACTTATACGATCATTGCCTCTATCTTTCCTGACTATTGGACCGAGACAGTTTTCTTCTACTACACGAACACATTGTCGATGAATGCTTAGGGAACAATCTATACGAATGAAAAATAATTTATTTTAATATACATTATGTTTTTTTTTATTAATTTCGTTATATCTAATTAATAATTGTTTAATTTTATACGTACCACTACAGAGATATCCTTGAGGACCTATACCACCAATAATTAATTGGCAATGGTTGCAATAAGTTATTGTAAAATACTGATGCGCTACAAAGCGATGTCCTCTAATTGTCATTTTCCTAGTCTTTCCCGTAAGTAATCTAGCTTTAATATTTGATTTATCTTTAGCTACAAAAGTAGGTACTCGGTCAAGAGACACCGGTCGTACTTGAAAAATTTTTGTTAATATTGTAGCCAAACCAGCTGCTGTTGTAAATTGTCGAAGATCTACATTTTCCTTTTCTATATCTTCGCTGAAATATAAGAATATCATTTTATTTATTATACATTTTCTATTTAAATTATAAATATTTTATTATTAATGATATTTTTTATATATTTATATATATATACAGATAAGGCTCCATTTTAGGCAAAAGATATGTTTCTATAATCTTCGTTTCTTTCGCTTTGTCAGATACACTTTCATCCAGCTGGGGATCACTTGGGCCAAACAATGTACCCAAACCTGCAGTCCTTTTCTGTTGAAAGTCTGCAAGTTGCTCATTGAGCTCCTCTTTAGCTCGATTACGTGCCTTCCAAAATATCTGTTTAATTGCCAATAAAAAAATTGCTTTAAAAGAACTGAAGAAATACATATAGTGAGTCAAAGAAGTATTCCTACCCCTGCTGTCAATTTAAAACAATCAATATTTTCGTGTAATACAATATTTCAAAATTCTTACACACAGAAATTTGGAATTTTTGCATTATAAATGCATAAATAAATATCAATTATTTAAAATTTACAATAAGGGCGAGTATGAATACTCCTGTGTAATTCACTGTATGTAACAATATCTTAATCAAAATATACCTACTTTACGTAGAATTTCTTCTTTATCAGATTCTTTTAAGAGAACATCATCTATTTCATGTGCAACGTTTTCATCTACGTTATGTAGATGGAGAGGCTAAACATAAAATAATTAAATGTTAATTTCAATTATGTAAATAATATAATGGATTAAGAAAATATTCAAGTAATAGATTTTTTACTTACTGCACCAGGTACTAAAAAACTAGAATGAATTTCGTACGCCCACTTTCTCATTTCTTTGGCGTTTCCTTCCTTATACAAATCCGTTACTAAGTAGAACAACTGTATAAAAAAAAAAAAAAAAAAAAAGAAAGAAAAAAACAATGAAATTATATATTTTGTATATATTAAATGTGTGTTAATTATATATATTTAATATTTTACAATTTGTGATATAATACACTTTACCTACCAGACTGGAAGGATCACTGTTTGATAAAACGTAATTAATAAATACAGCAAGATGCGCATGATGTTCCCACAGCC